CAGTGGCAAGGATTAGAACAGAATTAAACACATAAATAAAATTAAATAAAAGCACTCTAAGTTCTGTTCTGAACCTCTAAAAGCTCCACCTACCTCTCTGAGTGCCACGAGCGTCCTCTTTTCGATGGTGCCCTGTTTGACCAGCTCCCTGTTCTCTCGCTCCAGGTCCTTGACCCTCGTGCAGGAATCCCTGAAGAAGATCATCTCCTTGCCCATGGTGCGATTCTCTTTCTCCAGGCTGGAGATCCGCTGGTTGCTGTCGTCCAGCTTGGAGTCGCGGATCTCGGCCTGCTGCCTCAGCCGCTTGTTCTCCTTCTCCAGCAGCTTCTTGTCTTTCTCCAGCTGCGAGCTCTCCTGCTCCAGAGTCTTGTTCTGTGGAAAAAATGGGACATAATGGAGAACAGATGGATAAACCATCATTTGATCGGATTAGGCTTTAATCTAAATGCCTTGTAGATAAATGTTTGGATAAAAGTTAACACAGATTAACGCAAAGGGCCAAAAATCTATATCGACAAATAATCTGGGATAATCCAAATCTAATGGGAAACATGCTGAAATTTTATCTGAATGAACTACAAGAGTGGCAGCGCCACTCAAGTGCCAGATAACCTCATTTACACGCTTTATCAGTAAAACACCTACAACCTGGCCAGTGGATGTTGAACCCTGATGGCCTATTTCCTGGTTGCCATTTGTGACTACTGCCTGCTACATGCATGCCTGTGAAACGACCTTTCCCATACCTCCTGCTCCAGCTGCTCCAGGCGTTTGCTGGAGATCTTCAGCTCCTCCAGGTTGCGTTGGAGGGTTTGATTTTCAGTCTCCACCTCCTGCAGCTCCACCTCCAGTTGCTGGATCTTCTTGCTGCTGTTCTCTAACGCCTTCTGCAGCCGCTGGTTCTCCGTATCTAGGCCCTGGTAACTCACCTGGGAGAGGAATAGTCAGATACGGATATTAAAAGCATCTGTGAACTAGTTGTGCCGCTCCCTGATGCCTCTGTAGCCAACCTTTAGGAACATTCGTTATTAAAATGATAAAAAATGTAGTATCGCTAAAAAACCTGTTGCATATCCAGCAGTCCTGGACTCTTACCTCTAATCTCTCCGTCTTCTTGGACGAGGCTTTGAGCAGTTCCAGGCTGCGCTTCAGCTGACTCCTCTCACTCTCCAGCTCCCTGTTCTCTGCTTCCACCTGAGCCGCCTTGGCCCCCAATGACCGGAGGCTCTCAGCTGAGCGCCGGATTTGCAGGTTCTCCTCCTCCAGCTGCGAGTTCTCCTTCTCCAGGGCCTCCAGCTGGAAGGCCATGTTCTTCAGAGCGTCCAGCTTCTTCTTCAGACGACGGCAATCTGCCTCCAGCTCTGTATTCTCCTTCTCTAGAGAGGACACCTACGTACACGACAAGTGATGGTGGTGGTTACATACTTTATCTTATGCTGCTCTCACAGATTAAAATCAGTAGTGCTGTAATGTTTAATATACTCATATTATCATCACATTTCCAAACTGCAACCAGGCAGAAAACTAAATGCACCAGACCTTTTCACAGGTGATTCCGAGACTGGCGACTTTCTTCTGCAGGATCTCGTTGTCCCTTTCCAACTTCTGCATCTGCATCTCCAGCTCCTCTGCTCTCTCACCTTTCTCCTTCATCACCTCAAGCTCCTTACCTGCGTAACAAAGGACGCACAAACAACCAAAATGTTGATCCTGTGGATTCAACAGGAGCAAAAAAGCTATTCCATGTCTACAAAAGAAAGGTGCGAGAAATCCAAACTGTCACTCACGTAGTTGTTTTCTCTCAAACTCCATCTTATTGAGTTTGGCAGTTGTCTCGCAGATGGACTCGTGGAGAATGCGGTTCTCTTTCTCCACATCCTTGACCCGGGCCTCGGCGCCGACCTGGCAGCGCTGACGCAGAGATGACACCGTCTGGCTCAGGTGCTTGTTCTCCTGCTCCAGACCCTTCAGCTGGAGAACAGACAGAGTTCGATAAGGACCTATATACTATAGGCGCTATTACTTAGACCGGTCTCTTCCTCCACTTGTGGATCATTGGGGCAGATGAAAAATCTATCTGTTGGTGTTTTTATTTAAGAGGACAAGGTTGATTTAATGACTGGTTGTATGAGCTAATGAACTTTTCAGTACGTTCTCCATCATAAATCAATCATGCATTGCTGGCACAACTGTCAGGGGAAATTTAGGGTCCAGCATTTGGCCTAGTTTGGCATACGGAATGGGGGAGACAGGGATCGAACCGCCAACCTTGTTAGTGGGCGACCTGAATTTCCCTGTGTATTCTGTGAGTGCAGCATGTTGTGATTTATCCGCCTCTGTAGCTCATCAAGGTTGGATTTAACAAATGAGATGATTCAATTAATCCTAGGTGTCAGATTTGGGTGCAACAGCTAGAAGGTCCCAGTGGACGCACGCCAAACGGCTGCATCTGGGCCAGAGTCAGAAACCTGTGTAGCCAATAAAAAAATAAGTGCTATTCCACTTAATCGTTTTTTTGAGCCAAATGGAACAAAAACTGCTCTCAGGGAAACTCAGCATCGACTGGAGTAAATTTCACAGCCCAGTCATGTTATTTTCTCTGAGCTGCTGGCAACGAGAATCAATGGCGGTTTTGTGAAGAGAGCGGCCTGTATGACGCACACGCTCAAAGCTCTGTTTGTCTGTCTCAGACCATGCACCCGTCCAGTACACAGCTGCAGTAACTATGTTTTAAAGCACATGAACGCTTGATGTAATTACAGTCATTCTCGAAGACGTTGGTCTCTAAACCATATTAGATCTAATGAGAGAACTTCCTCTGCCATCTCAAAGATAACGGATCGAATCAGTTTTAGCAGAAAGGAAAAATTACATCAAAATACACACAAGAATGAGAATTTAAATTATTGAGTGTATGTACCTGTCTCTCGGAGTTCTCTCGGAGTGTTTCCAGGGTCTTCTCCAGCAAAGCCTTCTCTTTCATCAGGTCTGTGCTGAGCTCCTCTGCGCTGCGAAGAGACTCTCTGTCTGCTGTCAGCTCAGTCTGCAGCTGCTCCAACTGCACACAGACAAAGACACATTTCAAAATGTCACACTGTTCTGATTAAGTTTTAATGTGATGGACGATAACTTTCTGTCAACTTTATTGCAACATTTTAAAATTTGTTTCCCATCACTTCCTTTGTTTTGCAATCACAGAGAAACGGATGCAATCATTAATCCAAGATACAAACATATTTATATCATCTTATTCTGTAATAACAAGCAAACAAACACACACTTTGTTTTTACACATGCGGATATCCAACCCCAGCCCCTCTGGACCCAACAGACCCCAGCTGGGTTCATATTTGTGTTCAGGTCGGGTGGTTCACTCTGGCTGATCTGATTTTGATGTTGTGTTCATACAAAACACATGTATAATCGGGGAAATCAAGAAATGACCAAGGACACTTCTCATGGATTCAACATGGACTTACTTAAATTTCCTGAAGAATAATCCTGATCATAAACTTGTCAAACCTTAACCACTGCCCTTAAATGCGTCTTTTTTAAAAATAGGAATACAACTTTTGTCCCCAAAAGGACAAGTCATACTTAGTGAACCATTGTTAAGTCTGAAACTTGTCCCCAAAGTTACCCTGTGACAGAAACACAAACACCAGCAGCTGCAGTCACAGTTTAATGAGTTATGACTCTGGACCTCAAGACACTTACTTCAGATTTTCTCTTTGTGAGAGACAGAGAAACACAATTTCATGCTTTTTATTCAGCGGGAACAGAGAGAGGCTTATGTTTCTGAAAATAGCTGAGAGACTTCTCTTAGTGAGGGGCGTTGGAGAGTCACAGACTGGAAAAGAAAAGGAGAAGGGGCTGCATGGATTTACAGCTTTGCATTCATCCTCCTATCCTCCCTTCTCTATACACTCTCCTTCTTTCTCGTTTTTATTTCTCTCTGCCACTGTGTGAAAAGGTCTAAAGCCAAGTGTTGGGGCGATATATCACAGAGGGGTGCTGGTCCAATATGCTAATCTCAGTGGTGACCCTGATAAGGCAGAGGATGAAACTACAAAATGTCTCCAGTTAGGACCAGAAGCATTGATGTGAATTACAAACAACAGTGGACTGAGAATGGAGCCCTGAGGCACACCACCTGAAAAATAATCAGTGCACTGTGACAAACCGATGATGTGAATATTTAAAAATACGCAAAATACGCGAAATTACTTACCCCACTGAGGACGAATGCAGGAATACACAGTTAATGACTTACTTTTTGGTTCAGTTTCTGGTTTTCTTGGTCGACCTTCGGTAGTTTTGTCACAGTGTCCTGATCGGCTGCTCCTCGGAGCTGCTCCACGGTCTTCAGCAGCGCCTGGTTGTCTTTCTCCAGCTTCAACAGGCGGCTCGAGGTCACCTCTTCACCCAGAGACTTCTGGGGGGCTGAATATATGACGGCAAGAAAAGGCGCATCAGTGTAATTTAATTAATACAAAGCCTGTAAAGCTTTTAAAGAGCCATTTTAGCAAACAATACCACCCCCCACACACAAAGTGTTTAACCAGATCCCTGGCTAGTTAAACCTCTTACCAGCTTTTATGATCCAAATGCACAGATTATCCTTCAGGAGCCACTGAATATTAATTACAGGTCTTAACCAAGTGGAAAGAAAACCCAGTGGAGGCTGGCAAATGCACGAGGGTCACAGGGATGATGCCAGGGCCACGAGCCAATGAGTGTGTGTTTGCCATCTGAGGCTTTTCAACCTGCACCAACTCAGGTGACTAACAACTGCAGGATGTTTTAACTCAGCATCCCTGAGTCTCCTGTTCATTACCTTGATCAAATTAAACCTCTCCGCCTGTGTCGTACCTTCAGTCAGATCGGGTGTTTTGGAGAGTTGCTCCAGCTCCCAGCCCAGGTGCAGTGACTCATCCATGCTCTGTTTCTGGGCCATCTCAAGCACGAGGTTCAACTCCAACAGCTCCTCCATACGCTTACGGTCACAGTCTCGCTTCTGGATATAACAGAGGGATTAGAGTGTGTTGAGATCAACAAATGCTACATTTAACTGGTTTTTGAGCATTGAAAGTTATTTATTTATTTAAATCTCAGACTCTCCATCTCCAATCTGCATCCATCCCATTACACTGAGACAGTAAAACGTCCATAATAAATCCGTCATCTCACCAAATCCAGGTCGTGGATCTTGGACTTGAGCTGCAGATTCTCTTTCTCCAGGAGGTGCAGTTTGTCAGAGCGCGTCCTGCTGGCATCCAGCTGTACCTCCAGCATGGTCTTAGTCTCCAGCAGCACCTGGTTGTCCTCCTTCAGCTCCTGCAGGAACCAACACATCATTAGGTGACCACAGCAACAAGCACAAAAATGTAAGGCAACGTCCTTGTAGAGTGGTTGTAACCATATGTCCTTAGGTTCAGAGGGTTTTTAAAATTATATTTCTGCTCTTACTCTTCACAAGTTTCTCAACTTTTTAAAGATATAGCAGGAGGAGACAAGCTGTCGTATGTGGGGTGATGTGGACGCCCCCCCCCCCTTTCTTGTCTGTCTCCTAAAACTGAAGGTCAACCCTAAGAAGTGAAGCTATTTTTACAATTTTTGTTGATGCTTAGTGTTACGGCCTTAACTGTCCCCTGTCCATGTTTGTGTGTATTGTGTCTCTCCATGTCTCTATCTCTGTGTCCGGTGGAGGCCTGGCGGATGCTCCTCCTCCTCCCTGGCTGGTGGTGAAGACAAAGATCCGGATTGGAGCGGCATCAACCCCAAACCTCCAATCACCATGAATCACTGAGGGCTGTCAGTATAAATTCTGTCCAGCTGTGTCAGCCTGGGCAGCGGCAGTTGTGTGTTTGCAGCTCGCCACTTTAGCCACTTTATACTAGGACCATTGTTGTTGTGAGAAACTTGTTTCTGTTACCTATTTAATACTGATCACTAGCACTCACAATTGTTTATTTGAGAATCTATGTTAGCGACATTAGGAACAGGGTTTTCGTTTGTCTTTTGATTGTGAACCAATTGTCTTGTTTATTAAGGATTTTGTTTTGTTTTGGTTGTTTAGGTTTGAGCAGCTCTTGTTAAGAGTCCTCTTTTAGTTTTAAAACATGTAAACCTTGTAAATATTTGGTATATGTTTTCTCTTCATGTGCTTTAACAAACACCTTCTTCTTGGTTTGACACAATGCTCTGTGTGTGTGTGCATGCGTGCATGCGCAGAGTTGTGTACCTCGACTCTGGCTTTGTAAAACTCGATATCGCGAAGTCTCTCCTTGTATCGGCCCAGCTCGCTCTCCAGCTTGTCCACACGGATCGCTTTCTCTCTGATCGCGTCCAGCTCGTCGCGGTAGGCCCGAGCTGAACGAGCGTCAGACAGCAGCTGGTAGCTCTGCAGGGGTTGACGGACAAATATAGAGCATGAATATGTGCAAATACATTTTAGTATTTTAAGATATTCACAAAAAAGCATTCAATAAATAAAATAATGAATTCCATGAACAAATATTTTATTAGATATATATTTGGGGATTGGAATTTTTTGCGTGGATTCACTCCCTCTATAATACACACTGTCCTCCTGGCCCTGAACTCATGCACCTTGTTTACAGACTGTTAGCTACACCTTCAGCCGGCTGCCCGCTGCACATCAAAAGCCATGTGAGGCTGCAGCTCGACTAAACATAGCTCTAATAGCCCCTAATGAGCTAAGGCCTCTGCGAGCTGATTAAAGCCTGGCAGCGCTGCAGAAACAAAGGGCTGGGTGGATGGGAGCAGGTGTAGGAGACCGTGCTTTGTCTGAATATTTGTCCTTGGGTTTGCGTCCTGCTTTGTGTCGGCTGTCGACCTGTGGCATCACCTCTTGCTGAAGCCTCTTGAACTCCACCTCCACGTTCTCCAGCTCCTGTCTGGTGTCCAGAAGCTGCTCACTCTTCTCCTCTCTGAAAGAAAAAGAGACAGGGAGAGTGATATAACCTAGATGACAGAGAGAGCGCCAGGAGGAAGAGAAAGACACAGATTTTTCTGTTCAATGTACACAAACATCACATGTCAAGTTCTTTTTAAGACTGCGTGTTTGTGCATGGATCAAATCAGAGTATTAACAAGGACATTCCTTTAGGGATGTTTCCATTTTAGGACTCGGAGCTAAATCATTTATTGGAGGAAAGTTATTGACACAGTTGCACAGACGAGGTCACAGAATTTGTCTGAATAAATTTGACTTTACTTTCAGTAGCTTCAGTGCAATTTTTATATCAGTTTTGGTGAGTTCTGGAAGAAAAGCTAATAAAAACTTCTGTTAGCGAGGACACTGAAATAGGGTTGGACGATATGTCCGAAAGAAATTTCGATATAAATCAACAACAACAATCAGAAAAATAAATGTCTTATTATTTTAAATAAGTTCTTAAGACAATCTTTTGCTCCTGAGTGACAGTTAAACTCTTTTAATGAGCAGAGAATGAACAATGACCAAACACAGGCCACGGACAATCAGCAACTCACACGTTGATTTCATCAGACATCAGTCAAACCCAGTTTCTTCAGTTAAAAAGAATCTATTGTTTCTGGTGCATTAGAGCTGTGATGGTCAGGAGACGATATCTTTCACTCATAAACAACCTCATCACACTCAAGGGGGGAGCCGTTCAAAACAACAGCACCGTGTGACCACTTCAGGCACAAACACATTCAAATCTGCCCCCGTGGCTCAAACCCCTCATCCCCTTCCTTCATTCTGGTGAATAGATCACAACAGATATGATTCGAGAGGGGGAAAAGAAAGTTTTCTTTGTGTGCGAGTGGGACAGAAACCACAGAATCAAACCAGGTTCTACCCGCTCACGCTCGCCTGTATCACTTGTTTAACTCACAGGGCAGCTTGACATGTGCCGTCTGTGAGAATCTGTGCGACCACAGAGGGAGAATGTGTCACACCGCTTTGAAGGGAAACCGCTGCATTCCTGAGATGCTCTTCTGTGTGTGTGTGTGTGTGTGTGTGTGTGTGTGTGTGTGTGTGTGTGTGTGTGTGTGAGACCACACCCCCGAACATCTGATGGCCTATTTGATTACAGCTCTTTGCAGTCTCATCTCAATAAGAAAAGAGCAGCCTCCATGTCTTGTGCTATCGTGTATTGTCTCCTCACTCCCACAGTTGACGTTATTCGACTTGATATTCAGGCAGTTCATGTCCCTTCACCCATTTCTGACTTTGGCACCCCCCCCCCCACATCAACCTCCTGCAGCCTCTCCCCCTAAGACCGAATCACAAACACCTGTCAAGTCTAGCATGGCAGATTAGTTTAGGGCTCATATTGTGGATGCAGCTGGCTCTGCTGCTTATGTTAATGGTTTAACACTCAGACACAGACACTTGTATGCACGGCTATGTTTAAAAAGCCAAGTAATAAAGACAACCTTTATACCCAGTCTGATAAATGTTCTACTGACCGACACGAATATCTGTCGAAAAAGAGGTGCCTCCTGCACGTCGTACCCAGACTCACCCCTTGTCTGGAGTTCATGTCTAGAAATAGCTTAGAGGATAAGTTATAATTTGCAGAAGTTAATAATTCACTGTGCTGACATTCAGAGTGTACTGGCTGGTTGAGTTTGGGGTCACCCAGAAAAGTGATGAGTAATGATTTCCCACTGCTACAGATTCTGTTTCTTAGGAATTGACTTATTAAATAGTTGAAAGCATGTGTTTGAGGGCGCCTGTCAAGTCCTGCACAAGATAAAGCTTCAGCTCCGAGCCAGCCCTTAGCTGAATACCCCCCCGCTCTCTGTCCCCTTTACACACTTCACCCATGAAAAAGCTTCATGCTCCATAAAAACAGTGTTTTCATTGTTGAGTTACTGTGTTTGCAATAATTTCCGTCATATTTCTGATCCAAAGAACTCTCACTGGATTCTATCTGGACTTTTCTCAGACAGTTTAACTTCTTCATATCTGACAGCCTTGACAAAGAACAGGAACATTACATCTGTGTTTACAGCCAAGCTAATAAGACTATTAGAGGCAGATAATTGGAAACAGTACAAAATAAATGTTTGGCCTGAGAATAAGAGGAAGCCTCACAGTGGAATTGCATCCCTAAATAAATACAGTCTCTAAATGCATTTTAATGGTTTGAGCTGCAACAGGAGGAAGAAAAGCAGCAGTAGCTTTAACAGAGCACTGTGGGAATACTGAACCCCCCCCCCCCCCCAGCTCTGACTCCCTCACACACACAAGACCACACACTAGACTGTATGTTTATGCAGAGACAACATGTATGCACACGAACGCAACAAACACACACTCTTCTGCCACAGAGAAGAAGCCGCTATCATGTGACCGGTCGACATGAGCAGGGAGACACCCTTTGTCCCTTGTCCGTCCCATCACATGACAAAAACGCCACAGCAACAAGTAGAAAACACCCGAGCAACCGACTGTTGGCTGTTGTTCTGTGGTGTTATTTAGGTCTAGTGAAGAAATCGTCATAATGACCGTCACAGCTTTTCACCACGAGAGCCACAATGAATGAGTCTGAACTCACTGGAGAGGGGAAGCTTTTCTCTCTTTTCATGTGACCGGACAGAGGATGACCTGCACTCCATTCAGATTTATAACCACTAGTTAAAAGAACATTATTTAAGCTCACACACACACACCATTGTCTGTTTGACAAAGAAAACGAAGCGAAATCTTCTACAGATTACAGGAACTAATACACTCAAATATGACCTGAAGCCTTGTCCAAATCATCCACAGCTGAAATCAGCATGAGGTTCTTACATTATTTCTCCACTAAGGTGCACAGTGGGAGGACAACAGAAAGTTCTGCATGAGCAAGGCTGCTTTTAGTCACAAGTCACATTTATTTATATTTGTTTTTATGCCCCCAAGTTGGATTTCTGGTCTGGAAATCAGAGTCACTCAAGAGTGAAAGTGTTGGAAATAGAGGATACCCGACTCAACACAGAACTGCAATGAAATCTAATCCAATATTAGTTTTGGTGACTTAAGGGTTGATCCATACTTGTTCCGGTCTCATGTACATGCCCAGATACTAAAATGAGGGTCCACGTCAGTTTGGCGTTTCTCATATCTGTACCTGATCCTACAATTCATTCCAGTAGGTGGACATATTGCACCTGGAGATACACATATCAGGGATATTTAATTCCTAAAAACAGAATAAGTGACGGAAGCTTGACCTTGATGACTTTGAATCACACAAGAATTAGCCGATAGCAATCAGAGCTCGAAGTTCAGATCAAAAGTGCAGGAAAACTGTAATTGAAACACAACTGGAGCTTTAGTAGCAAACAAGATTAGCAGTGATAGCCGCTGTCGTATTGCAGCCAATAACGTCTCAGGACTTAGTCTTTAAAGTAATTTAGCTCCCGAGATCAAATCTTGTTTGTTTACATTTCCTGTTTCTTCACCATTTCTCTCCCCATTTTCAGTAATTACTTATCGGGCTGATAAAACACTCACAGCTCCTGTCGAAGGCGTCTGATCTTGGCCTTGGCATCGGCCAGCTCCACGGAGAGATGCTGGCGGCTCTCGGTCCTTCTCATGCTGGGGGAGTCGCCAGGAGACTGGGTTGGATAGGGAGCCAGCGGAGACAACTGCACACAGTCTCTCTCCTGGGTCAACTCCACTATGGTCTGGAATGAGGGTGAAAGAAAGAGAGGGACAGGGAGTGAGATTTGGATCCAGATTTAGATTTAGAAAACACACAGTCAAAAGCATTTTATAATATCATTTTGAACTTGTTGTTGAGTTCTTAGGCAACTATTAAAGTTGAGATATCAAACAATGGGACAAGAATGGACTTCAAAACAAAGCAGAGGAGATAAATGGGTTCAGCAAATGGACACCAACCCAAAACTAGACTGGAGGCGCTCGGCAGAAACTACATCCACAGTCCCACACACAGCCTATTTTGTTCCAGTGCCCGTGACAGGAAATAGGATTTTAATTGAGAGCGGCTGGACTACACAGTGATAATCTGGAGGCTATTAGAACCCCTGACACACACACACACACA